CGCCATGCCGGCCTCCGACACGTTTCCGGTAAGAAAGTCGCTATGTCGTCCTGGTCACTAGAGTGAACACTTAGCGGTGACCGAAACGATTTCGAATGACCCGCGCGGTGGGTGGGTCACCCGCCGCGCGCGCGCGCTCTCGTGACGAGTTCTGTATGTTGCACAATCGGAAAGTCGCCGTGTTGGCCTGGAAACTCAAGTGATCCCTTTGCGGTGATTAATTTGATATTGAAGTTAACATGGGTTCTAATTTCAAAACTGCCCACGCGCGGGCGCGACGGGTTCTGTGGCGTCCACAGCGAGAAAGTCACCATGCTGGCTTGGGAACAAAAGTGAACTCGGAACGGTGACCGACGGGATTTCGGGTGACCCGCGCGGCGTGTGGGTCACCTGCCGCGCGCGCGGGGCGAGTTCTGTAATGTCCACAGTAAGAAAGACGCCGTGGTGGCCTGGTAGCTCAATGACCTCGTTGATTTTGAAGTTCACATGTTTTGCGCAGATTCCCGAAGATAAGAAGACATCCCCTTTGCGAAAAACATTGCGGTCACCGAGCGCGACCGGTTGCGCGTGCCACCCGCCAGGCGCGTAGAGATTTCGACCTTGACAAGCAGCGGTTACTAGCAACGCGCGTGCCCCTTGTAACAACAGAGAATGCCGACTGTCTTCCTCCTCCTCTTCCACCTCCTCCTCCTATTCCGCTCCCAGGAAAAAGGAAAAGGAGAATCAGGACGAGGAGTCTGACGACGACGACGACAACGACGCCGATGACGACGACGAGAAAAAACAGGGGGGAGGATGGGGGGAGGAGGAAGGGGTGGAGGGCGACGGGGCGGGCCCGGGCAAGCCCGCGTGCCTCGATTTTAGTTACTGCAGTTGGCCTCGTGATTGAGTTACTACACTTGGCATTGTTTTTGGTTGCTACAGTTGACCTCGCTTTTGATCTGCGACACTTGGCCTCGTGTCTGGTTGGTAGAGTTGGCACCGTGAATCAACTTACTACACTTGGCCTCGTTTCTGGGTTGCTACACGTGGCCTCGTCTTTAAGTTACTACACTTGGGCCCTCCTTTGGCATGTTCGTTCCAATTCATATACTACCGTAGTGAACTGGCTCGTGGCTTCGACAAATTTGCTACGCTTGGCCTCGCTTTTGGGTTGTAGTTGCCCTGGCTTCGGGTTGCTACATGTGGGCTCGTTTATGGTTGCATCAATGGTGTTTTCGCCCGCGGATGCCACATGTGTTGCTGCACTCCCCCCCGGGGCACGCCGGGGGAATCCGATGCCAGGGGGCCCCCGGCGTGTTTCCCGGGCGCGGGCCCCCCCCCGACAGGCGGGCCGCGCGGGGGGCGCCGACCGACAAACAGCTGCCATGCGAGCCCCCGAACGCCCCCCCACCCACCCCCGGAACGACGGGGCAAACGCGCCGCGCACTGCGGACGCAGCCCCGACCCGCCCCGAGCGGGCCCCGCCCAGACCCCGTGGCCCATACTCTACGGCGCGAGCCCCTACACTCCAAAACCCTGGAATCAACAAAAAGTGGAGGAGGTCCCGAGACTCCAATGACTCCGCCGAGAACCGAAGGAGCCACGAAATTATTGGAAAACGCGGCTAACCCAAAGCTGCGTGGAAGGCACCGCTTAGGGGAATCCCAGTACGCGGGTGACACTTGGCCTTTAAATTCTTAAGGGCCGTTGATCTGAGCCGACTGAGCTCCCAAGTAACTTGGCCAATGCACCGAGCCACTGGCACAGGGGGCTGCCGGGAAGAGGCTGATCCCCCACATCTCAGACAATAAACAAAAGGGCCCTCGGTGACCATGTGGTGGCCACGGGGGAGCTCAAAGGGCGCGGGCTCGGCTCCAGACGCAGTGACAGCCTGCCCAATAGAACTATCGGCACCACTAGACACAGTCGGCACCCGGGGTTCCGACGGAACCCCATTGGAGAAAACGCTGCCCGTAGACTGCCCCTGTGCGCCAGCCCCGGGCCCCAAGACCCTGTCCGCCGCCCGCAGCGCAATCGCGACGGCGCCCGCGCGCGCTGTCGGAGGACGACGAGGAGGAGGAGGAGGAAGAGAGGGAGGGCATCTGTTTGATGTTAGAAGGACCGCGCGCACTGTAGCTGTTAGTGGACAAAGTCACTGTCTCCACGCGCCGCGCAGGTGACACGCGCCCCCCGCGCGCGCTCGGTGGCCGCAAGGGGTTCGCCCGAGGCATCTCGCAAACAGGGTGTCTTAAAACAAAAAATCTTTGGGAATGTGTAGAAAACGCATGGCAACTTCAATGTAAAATGGGTCGCCGCTGAGGGCTTTTGGTTCCCAGGCCAACATGGCGACTTTCACATTGTGGACATTACAGAGCTCGCCACGCGCGTGCGGCGGGTGACCCACCTACTGGGTTACCCGAAATCCTGTCGGCCACTGCTGAAAATTCACTTGCGTTCCCCAAGCCCACATGGCGAATTTCCACGCGTGGCCAACACAGAACTCATCACGCGCGCATGGGGTTTCTGAACCCATGTTGGCTTCAACGTCAAATCCGTGACCGCTCAGGATTCACTATAGTTCCCAAGCCAACATAACGAGTTTCCCACTGTGGACATGACAGAGCTCGCCACGCCCGCGCACGCGCAGCGGGTGACCCACCCACCGCGCGGGTCACCCGAAATCCTTGCGGTCACGGGTCAGTGGCCACTTTGGTTTCAAGAGCGACATGGCGGTTTGCGTACCGTGACCATTGGTGACCCACCCGCAGTGCGTGTTACCCGAAATCATGTTGGTCATCGTCAAGGGGCCACTTGGGCACCCAAGCCAGCATGGCGACTTACCCAAGCGCGGACAGTACAGAAACATGCACGCGCACGTGCGTAAGGGGATGTGTTCATGGATCATGTGTGAAAGTGCACAACAAAACCCATGCCCACTCCAACATCAATCCCGTCACCGCTAACGGTCAAATATAGTTTCCAGACAAACATGGGTCATTTCTGACTGCGGACACTGCAGAACTCGCCACGCGCTGACGCACGCGCGAGGTACGACCCTTCCATTGAGCGGGTCACTCGAAATCGTTTCGGTCACCGCTAAGGATTCACTTCAGTTTCAAGAGCGGCATGGCGACTATTCGAGCGTGAACACTACAGCATTCCGCGCGCGTGGTGCGCTCTGCATTGTCCATCGTAGGAACGTGCGCCCAAACCAATGTCAACTCGGAGATCCAATCGGTCAGCGTTCAACCCTTGACAGCAGCCATAAGCCTTGACAGGCCGCGGTGTTGCTTAAGGATTTCCACGGACTGTCAAGGGTTACCAGGGCTTGACAAGGGCTATCAAGGCATGCCATGGGCTTATCATGCGCTGCCCCCCCGAAAAAAAAAAACAAAGAAAAACAATGATCCGCGGAACACAGAACTCAAGACATCGCAGAGACGAACACACAGAGGGTAGGGCGTCGTGAGCAATTCGTGACTCACGGGGGTTGGGGTCTGTTGGGTTCGCGGCGGATTTGCGGTCGACGAGCGGACGTCGACGGAAACGGAGCTCGGCAAATGCGCCCGCCGCTCCCCTTCCGGGAGATGCGCGCTGGAATGCTAGCAGCCTGTTGCTCGTCGACCGCTCGCTTGCAGTCCGGCAGGAGGCCAGTCGCAATGTTTGGCAAACCTTCGATTCCATGTCGCCGACATCCGAAAATATTACTTCACCATTTTTTCTCGCGGCCGAGGGGAACGGTGGCGGGCGCCCCGGGGCCGAATCCTGGACAAGTGAAGTGACAGGTTTGGCTGCAGCAAGTTGAACGGGCACTAGACACACCATTCCTTCCAACTCCCAGCAGGCCTGCTTCGGCATCCTCCTAGGCTCCGGGGCCACCGCAAAAAAAAGCAACCCGAGCACGACAGGTCCCAGGGAGCGCGGCCAAGCGTCTTCGAGGCCCGCGTCCGTGAACGCGTCGCGAGCCCCCAAGTCCTCGCCTCCGTCTCCTCCTCCCCCCATCCTCCTCCCCTCCTGATCCCTCCTCCTCCCCCTCCTCCTCCTCCTCCTCCTCCTCCTCCTCTCCTCCTCCTCCTCCTCCTCCTCCCCTCTTCCTCCCTCTTCCCTCCTCCTCCCTCCTCCAACTCCTCCTCCTCCTCCTCCTCCTCCTCCTCCTCCTCCTCCTCCTCCTCCTCCTCCTCCTCCTCCTCTTCCTCCCACTACTCCGCCTCCTTCGCAACCTCATCTTCATGTTGGCGCCCCGGTTCCAACAGCTCGGCCTCAGTCGAAGACGGACGCGGGTGAGGCGGGGAGACAGGAGTCCCCCCTCTCGATGATTCCAGATTTCCGACGTCGTGACTTCAACCTACCAATATAAGCGGGTCCCCCCCCTCCACAGGGACTGATTCTTCGGAACGCCATAGAAACCCGTCTGAAGAGCCTGGACCCCGAAACATACATCCCAAAAGCAAGTATCGCTAAACAAAACTAGTAGTTCCCCTTTCCTTGACGCAAGGTGCCTAGGTTCCCGCCCCACCCTCGAAAGCCCATTCCCTGTGCCTCTCCTGGGGAACGTTCCGCCAAGGGTTCGGTCCAACACGTCCTCGGTCCTCGACTCTCCCTGGCCTGGTGGATCAGGCGAGGCCAAACGTGCCCCAGGAACGACTTCCCCAGTAGATTGGCCCTCAGGAGCCACCTCGTGATGCGAAGGGGCGAGGTACTGGCGCTTGCCGTGGCTGGAATCGTGGCCCCTGAAACGCCTCACTGCGATACAACGTCGCCCTGGGGGCACTTCTAAAGGGGAAGGACAAGGGGGACCGGCTTTGGGGGGAGAACAACTCCCTGGAATCGGCGGTACAAAACCGATAGACCAGCGATAGTCCCTCGATAGCGAAGCAACACGTTTCTGTGAAAGCTGGGGGCTCAGGCCTCAATCGGCGATGAGTGGGCGATTGGGGGTCGATGCCTCCTCCCCTGGGCAAGCCCCCCACCTGACACTGCCCCTGCGCGTGGGGCCCCTCCCGAGTGGTCTGGTGAGCCTCGTCTAGCAGCAGGGTCTTCGCTTCAATTATGGCCTCGTCCGCGCGCTTCGTCGCCTTCTGGCTACACGCATAGAGCGACCCCAGACAAGAGTGGTCGTTGGTGTGCGAATTTCCGATTGTTGCACTGGGTGCGGCAGTTGCGCCTTGCGCGCTTGAGTTTGGCTCACGAAAGTGCCCCCAGACAGCCGCGCACCAAAGGTCACTCTGGCGAATGGCCACCTCTTACGTGCATCCGAACCTTCTTCCACTTCTTGCGGCGGGAGCGCCGGCGGCGCGTTGTCCCGTCGTGCCCCCAGTTCATGAACGAGTGCAGCGTGGAGCCGCCGATGTGCACCGCCGCGGCGCCCGTTGACGCGCACACAGCCACCCGCCGCTCGTCGACGCAGCCGTCCTCCGGCAATCAGAAATGTGAACAACTCATCCACACCCGCAAGCCAACCCCCCTAGGTGGGGATTGGCGCCGACTCATTCGGGTTTCGCGGCGCCCCTCCCCACTAATGGAGGAGGTTCGCAGGGATAGCTAACCAGCTAACCCTCCCTGTCCCAGTGGGGGTGGGAATGGTTCTGACGATGTTTGAAAAAGAGGCCACGTGAGCGACGAAGGGGAACATACCATGACAGGGCGGCCTTGCGCGGCGGCTTAAGCGAGCCGCCAGTGCGACACCCCACGTGGAGAGGAGATCACTTGCACGCGGCCCTGCGCGAGCAACTTGCGCGCGACTGCGGGCCCCCCTCTGTACACGTCGCCGACGCCAGCATAAGCAATCGAACGCCAGCGGACGCTGTCTCCGGCGCCAACCCCCCCGCAACCTTTCCACAGCGTGCGAAACGCGACAAGGCGACGCACTCGGCGGGCAGGGGTTGCTGCGCCGGCGGAGAAACTGTCTGCCGGCGTCAGGGCGGTTATGTTTCAGTCTCAAGTAGTCCTTCTGGCACAGCAGTTGCACGAGCCTTGGCCAAGTCCGTCGCCCGTCTTCAGACTCTGTGGGCATGGGATATCCAGGCGACTCTGTGGACCCAGACCACTGATGCCTGGACTGTTCCCCACATAAGAGGCCCCTGGAGCTGTCGACCCCACAAGACAATTGTTATTCAATCTCGGCAATTTTTAGAAGCTCGGCAATGTTTAGAAGTTCTGGCGGGCCCGAAAGCAGCCCGCGGAGCAAGGAACAGCGCCTGGAATACAATAACAACGTTCGTAGGCAAGGGAGGCCTCAGGACCGAAGATCTCTCGGCCAAGAATCTGCCTCCGAGGCAATTTGACCGTGAGCTGGAAATCTCAGCCCATCGGGTCGAGACCTCGATCACCACTAAGTCATATCTCTGCGCCCTCGCGCCGCTGCCATGGAGCAGGGCAGCTGCGCGCCCCAGGCCGCGCAGCGCCAAGACGCGGCCATCTTCGCGCAGCCGCGAATGGCCCAACAATCCAAAACCCCCCTGGGCCCATCCTGGCAAGTTGTTCAAGTTTCGCCCAGCCGTGGCCAGGAGGGACCCGTAGGATGAGGCGCCCAGCGCGAAACAACGTGAAAATCTTCCTTCATCGTTCGGTCCACGCCCGCAGAAGCTGGAAGCTGCAGCTCCACCCTGATGGGTACTCAGCAGACCCAGCGCCGTCCCTTTCCTGCACCATTCCACACGAAAGCAACGTTTTCCTGTCTCTCTCCTGGCAACTTCCTGCGCGCTGCTTAAGAAACCGAACCCACTACTAGGTACCCATCTCGGCGGCACTGGCTGGCGGAGGACCCAGCCGGCCTCTCCAGCAGGAAGCTCTTCCCAGAGCCTGGCTCGCCCGTGATGAACACCGAGCCGCCAGCCAAGACGGCACGGGCGACCTCGGCCAGGCCGGGGGGGTCACTTGGCCTCCTCCTCCTCCTCCTCCTCCTCCTCCTTCTCCTCCTCCTCCTCCTACATCCCTGACCCTAATGAATAACTCGACGGAGAAGTCCCCACCGTTTATGATCTTGAAGCTTGAAATTTGCAACGATTTCACTGATTGAGTGCGGGTTTCAACATGTGGCTCTCGACTTAGTGCTGCGCGCATTTGTCAGAACAGCTTGCATCAGCTCCACGGATAGAGGACACGTGGTTTTCAATGTGTAACTCTGGCATTCGCGCCGCGCACATTCGCCTTCAAAGTTAGCGATCGATTCAAGGGTGGGGAGCGGTTCATCTTCAGAGTGTGGCTCTCGCCTTAGCGCCGCGAGCATTCGTCTTAAACGTGTGCGACACTTGTTAAGGATTCGTATGGTTGAAGTCCCAGGGATGGTGCTCTGGCACGGCTTAGGATTGCCAGGACGCAACAGTGACGTTGACGCGCAGTGCTAGGTCCCAAGAATATTGTTCTGGCACGAGTTAGGACTGTCAAGACGAATCAGCAATCTGACTCGCGCCTTGAAGTCCCAGGAGCGGTGTTTGGGCACGATTGAGGCTTCCCGAATGGTTTTCTTCTGGGCCGCTTCCCTCAATGAGCATGAACTTTTGCAGACACCTAAAGTGGAAACTGGGAGGGAGGGATTACTACACCATCGTTGGTTCTTCTTGGGTTTGCACTAACCCTCCTCCTCCTCTACCTCCTACTCCTCCTCCTCCCTACTGCTCCACCTCCTCCCCCTCCCTCCTCCTGCCTCCTGCTCCTCCTCCCTCCTCTCCCCTGGGATCCGACGTTGCAAAGAAAATTGCTACATCGCGAAAAATCACGACTGGAGCCCTAGACCCCATCTTTCTGCAGTATTTTCCGAGCTGGTTTGATCTGTGATGAGCCCGGGCCCCGAAATCAAGCGAAAATGCCCGCTGCGAAAAACATGCGACGCGCGGATCAAAGTCCTTCTCCTCCTCGTCTTCCTCCTCTTCGTCCTCCTCCTCCTCCTCCTCCTGCCCTCCCCCCACCCAGCCCCTAGGGCGGGCGAGGCGACCAACGACCTCCGCCTGCTCTGGGCAGAGCTCCGCGAGGACCTTCTCCTCCTGAAGCCCTCCCTTCGGCGGCTCCTCCCGCGGCGGCCCTCCCTCGGCTCCTCGGGCCGGCCGCGCCGACGGGAGGCGGACGCTGACGACGACGCTGACGACGACGACGACGATCAAGGAAAGGGTCTAGGCCTTCGGGGGTCCACATTGTGGAACACACTACGTTGGAAATTGTATGTTCGATCGTGTGTTCCATGATATCACCTCGCTTAGGGTTCGTGCAACGCTACAAACGGATCCGACATATCTGTATTATTTACTCGTTTGATTCGATACTAAAATGCTGGACCAAAAGTAAAGCGTAAACGCGTAAACCGTGCTTCCCCATTCAAAATTACCCCACCATGTAACGAGAGGAGCTCTCAGGACCCTCCCAATAGCCTCTCAAGACCATATTGGGGCTCTTTTATGTCCCTGTCAGGACCCCTTTCAAACCCTCGCAGGACCCTCCCAGTAGCCTCTCAGTATGAATCCAACTGCTCTCAGAACCCTTTCCGATGTTGACACTGGGCAACGATGGGGCGAGGTTTTCCTGAAAACCTGACAACACAGAGGTGCCTCGTGCCAAAGGCTGCGGAACAGAAAGCAAGAACAACATGACTGCAAACCTGCTATACAACTCTCTGGGCCTGCCCACTGTCTTAAAGCTCACATGGGTTAGATAGTTGGCAAGAGAATCGACAGTCCGCCCAATTTTTCTGAGATTTAACTGGGTCTTGAAATCATCCAGAGAGCAAGGTTCGCACTCTAGTCACAAGCAACAGTACTGCCTCGCCCTCGCGAGGTGTCTCCCTGAAACCACAAAATGTGAGGGAGCAATCTCTTCAACGTGTGGAGAGGAGAGAAAGAGAGGGAGAGAGAGAAAGAGAAACCAACAACCACCACCACCACCACCAAGGAAAGGCGGGAAAGGGAAGGGGTCGTGTCGCCACACGCCGCTATGGCGCCGGACCTGTCTCCGGATCTTCACCGTGAAGCCGTCGGAGGTGCTTCCCGGAATAGGCTCTGGATCTGTCTCTCCCTGCTGCTCTGTCCTCCCTGTTCCTCATGCTCGTCTCCTCACTCACCAGACGTAACATGCCCGAGGAAAGCAACTTGAACTGGGCCAAATTACCCTTCTGTATGTCCGACTTTGTGAGAGCATCCACCGGCATCGCCGGGTGAGGTACCCACTGCATCTGACTCCCAACTATCGTCATCACCGAACGGATAACCGACAAATCGATGGCGATGCGTCTGTCGGCTTTGGAGCCGCTCGTTTCCTTGTCCAACGTGTCGAATATCCCCATGGCGTCGACTATATGAACGTTGTTCAGGGGGGCAACATTAAGCTTACAGTCCTGCCGAAGAAGCGCGGTGCACGGGCCCACCTCCTCCCTCCAGCGCTCGGTCAGGAGCCCTCCCTGGGCCACGTCTAAAAACAACATCTGCAACCACTCTGCCTCGGCCACCGCCCCTGACAAGGCCAAGACTTCCCCCCCGAGGGTCGAGGGAACCTGTCGTCGGACCCGGCTGGACCTCCACGCGATAGGAGTAACCCTGGAAAGCTTACCACCGTGAATGGACGAATCGGCAGCGTAGACCTGCCAGGCCTGCTGAATCTTACTACTATCCAGTCCCCCAACCCCTCCGCAATCGCTCGCGGTCGCGAACACCATTCTTCCTGGACGAAAAGGCCACGCGATCAGCGGAACCTGGGCGGTGTTTCGAAGGTGATCGACCATGCGATTGGCCTCCAGGACATCTCCAATACAAGCCTGGGTCAGCGGGGAAGCCAACATCGAGGCAGCGCCTGCTGCCTCGGCGCGCGACCCCCTTCCGATCCAGTTCAGCTTGTACACCAAACTCCTAAACTGTTCGAACTCGTGAGGAAGCAAAGTCTTATAGTGATTCGACCTACGGTCCCTGGGGAGCTCCACCTTATGGAGATTCTCGAGAATGTATTTCTCCTGATCGAGGAGCACTCGATCGGGCAACCTACGGACCCTGCGGCCGATAAAGTCGGTCCCCTGCTGGTCGACCTTCCTCAACTTACCGAACTTGAACCTACTGGTGAACGCGTTCAAGCGCTCCTCGGCCAGGCCTGGGGCCACGGCGATCAGCCAGTCGCCCACTTCTACCAAGACCTGGGACCGAAGTCTACCATCCACGCGCTCGTAGAACCAGCATGGCTCCATGCTGGCCTTCTGGTACCCTTTCTGGGACATAAAATCGTGAGTGGTCTTGTGGAGGGCGAGGGGGGCGTCATCGAGCCCGTAAACCGGAGCTTTGAGCTCTATCAAGGCCCCCGGAGCCAACCTCAAGCCATCGCATGGCTCGACAAACACCCGACCCCGGATACGCTGGAGCTTGTCACTCTGACAAAAAGCGTTTTTGAGGTCCCCCACATACAAATCGAGTCCATACATGAGAGACACCACAAAAAAACATCATGAGGGATTCCATCTGTGGTGTCGGTGCGTACACCTTAAGCTCGGCAGTGTCCTCGTCCTCATGACCCCGGACGCACCACCTCGATTTCGCCTTCGGGGGAGCACAGGTCCCTTCCTGGGGTATCCAGCGACGCACCATCCTCGAGCTCACCACTCTGTTTGGGAAGGAGGCTCTGAGCTGTCGTCCAATGTCCGGGGGATGCACAATGACAGCTTTAGTCTCCAACATGGCCTTCCACTCACTGGCATCTGCGGCCTCGAAGGCTCTCCTGCCCTGAGCGTCGAGATCCCCCCACCTAACCCCCCGTCCCTTCCCCACCAGCAAAGAAAGAGAGACGGAACTTGAGCTGGGGTCCACCATCACGTCGGCATTCCCGTTAGAGAATGTGCGCCAGTCCCCACTCCAACCGTCCTCGCGTAGCTGACGATTGATACCGCACAGATAGGCTCTGGCCCCCTCGGGATCCTCCCCCGCCCCCAAAACAGACACAAACTCAGGGGACTCGCTGAACGAAGCGAAGACAGCGGAAGTGAGGGGGTCCTCACCGGTCTCCCCTGGCATCTGAACATCCGTCCCCCCCGGATCTTGATCCTGTTGGGTGGCGCGGGAGATGGGGCTCCTGGACCTGCGATGCATCTCGCCTATCTCTTCCCCTTGAAACTCCTCGACCTGCCTGCGGACCCTCCCAGGGAGATCCGCTCGAAAATCCTCTCTAAGGGTCGGGGGTCTTCTGGCCGCGGCGCCAAGATCCAGTCTCTGATTCCAACGAACGGCTTCGGCCACCTGTTGAGGGAGAGAGGAATCGGAAGACGAGGCAGGAACCGGGTTCAAGGGTCCCCTCGAGCTCGGACCTGCCTCCGAGGGCTGGTCCTCTCTCCGTGGGGATCGGGATCCTCTCCTGGCATCGTCTCCTGCGGATGGGACGTTCCCCGCGCCGGTGCTCTCTTCCAAGACTCCCCCCAGGCTCGGGGCACTGTCGGTTTCGGATCCCTGGGGCCCTGGGGGACCTGACGGAGGCCCTGGGATCCCCGAGTCCGTACTCGCGGCCTCGGACGGTGAAACACGTTCTTGTCCCTTGAGCGGTCTCGGGACCCGCGGGGGCGCACTTGGTCTGGTACCTGTTGCACGCGTCGGCGCCGAACTTGCTGCTGACGTGTCTCCTGGGCCCGCGGGGGCACCCGGGTCGGCTGGCCTAGGGACAGCTGAACTCGGCACCGGGGGGATAACAACCTCGTGATTTCCGTCGGCGGGATTCGGGAGTGGGGCCGCCCACGCCTCTGGGGGGGGAGCCCCTTCTCTAAGGACGTCAACTCCGGATCTCTGATGTCCCACCTGGGCATCTCTGATGAGCTCACGGATCTCGGGCTCGAAGAGGAGCTCAGCTCCCTTCGCCTCACTTCCAGTGGCTGGGCGGATTTGTTCGGTGCTGCACTTCCACAACCTAGAGCGCATGGCAATCCAAACAGTGTTACCCCTCTGGACCACCACGACCCCGGGGCCGACCCACCGATCTCTTTGCAGAGAAAACGTCTTTCTTCCCCCCGTGGGAGCCCTACGCCAAACGTGCACCCACTGTCCTGCCGAGAAATTTTGCCCCCTGTGCATCCTGCTACGGTTGGCCTCCCGGACCCGGACCCTCTGCTTGCGAGTAGTCTCGAAAAGTGACCTCCTGGCGAACTCCCTGATCGACTGTTCCTTCGCGAAGTCTGCAGCGGCCGCGCCCCTATCCCACGCGGTCTGCATGAGATCTTCTACTCCGACACCTGATGCTGCATCGTCGCTCAGGAGGTCGTTCGGAAGACGGGGATTCTGTCCCAGTACTAGCTGGTACGGCGTATATCCTCCGCGATGAAGATACCTGTTCTTCGAACTCACGATACCGTGCATCAGAAGATCGAGATCTTCATGAGTGGCAACAACGCTCTGCTCGATACCTCGCAACATCAGGTCCTTTACCCAACCTCCGTGCCGTTCACATCGGCCGTTTTCCCAAGGGACTCACTATTGGTCACATGTTGGAGAGAACCTTGCTGTTCTAGACCCCTCTCAAACTCCCCCTGGAATTCTGGTCCACCGTCCGTGATGAGGACGTCCAGAGGCCCGAAATACCTGATCCAGGTCTCCATCATGGCTCTCCAGGCGTCCTTGGCCCCTCCCGAGTACCTAGAAACCACCTGGAAGTTGGTCCCGTGGCAAATGACATTGAGGTAGCAGACGACCTCGGAGAGAAACGGGACGAAGAAAGAGCCCACGGCCACAATCCTATTGAACTGAAACGTCCTCGGAATGGCGACTCGCCGATGCTCGGCAGTTCTCTTCTGGGAATCGCAAGCGTCGCATCTGAAGTGGTCCCGGACCCACTGAAGAACCTCTGGCCTCGCCTGGGCCGCTCGCAAAACCTGGGTAAAAACTGCGTTCCTGGGGTGCCCGAGGTTCACATGGACTCGCTCGATCATCTCCTTGATCCGAGCCGTGATTTCCAAGGGCTGATCGGCGGGATCCGCAATATCGGCGTCAGCCGTCTCAGTATCTTCGACATCGTCCCCCCCTCCCTCTCTGCCCGTTCCCATCGGATAGTCCCCGTCTGCGGTGTCCTCGATGGGGAAGGAGACCTTGG